CCCCAAAACCCCAAAACCCCAAAACCCCAAAACCCCTATAAAGATTAATTAGATAGAAAATAATATATAAACACATTATGGAAGACTTTACAACAGGTAAATTCTTCTTTGTCCTGCTTTTCTTATTGTTTTGATGAGAAATAAGAAATATCTTAGATCCTTTGTCTAAGATGATTTATATATAGCTCATTTTATAAAAAATCTGACTCTTCAATTTAATTAGCGTCCAAAATAAGACCTGCAAATCACTTTGACAACATCATTGATTCACCGATGAACAGAGACATTGAAATCTTCAGGGACCTTAATTTTTCAAATCACTCAGGTATGGATTTATTATCACCGATCTCTTCCGACTCCAGTATCACTCTGCGCCAAACAAATAACTCCTTACTTCCATCATAGAATTACTATCTAAAATCAAAGACTTTCTTTTTGACCCATTTCCAACCCTAAACCTTATAAAATCTCAAACCTCTCAAAAGTCCGTTAATCCCCTCATAAAGTCCCTTTCCCGTTCTGTGCTAGGCTAAATTCTTTTTTTACTTTACAAAGTGTTTAAAATCTTTTCTACAAGTTCCAAAAGTTGCAGTACAGTGTGTTTTCCTGAGCCTCACACTAAGCCTTGGAAATGCACAGGTATTGCCAAGATCCTCTTAGTGAAGAAACCAGGCTACTTAGAGCCAGAAGAAAGTGGCATGTCTTATTTTTGGTATAGATAAGGGTAAATAACCTGAAACCTCCGATTTATAATAAGAAATATTGAAGTAATAAGAGCAAGATTACCTCAGGAACTAATAATATTGGACAATTTAAGTAAGATTTTGACTATGAGACCTACTCTTTGGTAAATCCTAAGGATCCCCTAGGTGTTGTATTTGAAGATTCTCATAAACAATGCGAAAGCAAAGGAATTTACTCTTTAATTATTAGAACTATTCAAAATCTATAGAATTATTAAAGGTCATAGTCGTATCAATTATGCAAAAGTGTAATAATTGATTACTATTTAGTACTTAAAAGCTTTCAGAGATTTATAGTGTCTATTGTTATAAATACTAAACTGAGTTCACTTGACCTAAAACTAATTTCCAGCTACTTTATATAAATACTTAGCTAACTCAGTAATTTCAAACGAGTATTAACTTCCAAAAATTAATTCTATAATATTTTAGATCAAGTTTCTCCAAAAATAAGCCAAGATGCTTCTCCAAGGCCAAAAATCACCCTCCCACTGCCCAAACCCCGCACAAGAAATCCCTTAAACTAAACTCCCCCTCTATCGGACTATCCACCCAGACTCCCAAAATTCCAAATTTCCAAAATTTCCCAAATTCTCCAAATTCCTCAAAAACTCCAAAATCCCTAAAATTCCTCATTCTCCACCGCAAAAGGCAAGTTTTCCCAAAAAAATTCCCTTTCCCTCTAATCTCCCTCCAAATTTCCTATTTTCTCTACTTAAAACCCCCAAATTTCCCAGTCAAAATCCAGCCGGTCTCTTCAGCCCACTCATCTGAAGGAAGTTCACGGCTAAATTTTAGCTTAGACCAAGTGGGCATTTGAGGCAAAATTTTAAGGGTTAACACTGTGTTTTAGGGTTTTTAGGGACAGTTCAAAGGGACTTAAGAGATTCAGAGTTCTGAAGATGGGGAAGAAAGAGAGTGGAGAGAGTCAGAGAGAGCGAGGTAAGGGAATGAGGAGTAGTTTAGGGATTTAAAAGAGTTTTAGTGGGGATTTAAGGAGTTTGAGTGGGAGTTTGTGGTATTTTGTAGTTGGTTGTGGATTTTACTATTGGAAGTACCTCTTTCTTCTTATAGGAAGGGGAGATGGGATGGGTTAGGAATAGAGTAAGGAGGATTTAGAGAAATATTGGCAAGGATGTAGAGATGTGGCATAAAAGCTGGAGTTTCAGACTGTCCTATGTTATGTATAGAGCAATTAAAACTCCCAGAACCAAGTGTCTCACGACTCCAAGCAGCAAAGCCAAATTTGAGCGCCTCAAGAAGCTTAGTCAAAATTGGAAACAAGTAAGATTTATACAATTTTAGTCAATGAAATGACAAAAAGTTCAGTAAAAATATTCAAATAAAGGTAAAACTAGTTTTAATCTTCAGAGGGTCCTAAGAAAATCTTCGAGCAAATTAAGGGCAAGAGAGCATTTCTGAGGTATAAGCCATTACTAAAAATGATTCCAGCTTTCCTCCTTAGAGTCTTCTGACATATTATATAGTGTATCGTAAGCAGAACTCATTTCAAACCCCAACAAAGATGCATCTCAGGTCTCTCCAAAGGACTATTATTGATGAAGACAAGTTCTTTAAAAAGAGATTGAAAGATTTTAGTAAAATCCAGGTTCAAATCTTGAAAAGAAATAATAATTCTCAAGAAAAATAAGCAAGATAATATCTCGTTTGGTCGATATGGTAAAGATGGCATCGTACACGGAGTTTCTTTGGTAAATATCAGGGTAGGAGGCAGTAAGATCAATTAAGTTAGAATGATTTCTTCTGGCATTCAAGCATTTCATCAGTATCAATAGGAGAAACAATAATTCTTTAGTAATTGAGTTATGCCCATAATCTTTCCATAATAATATTAAAAATCCAATCTTAGGTTGCTTAATTGGGGTTTTGGGGTTTTGGGGTTTTGGGGTTTTGGGG